AAAAAAAAAAAAACCCTTATTCATTAAAAGCCGACAGTTCTAAACATTGGTATCTACATATCCAATATATAGACTAATAAAACTACATTTTAGGCTTGACGCCTATAGCACAGTGAGTTGGACGCTGGGCACATACACCAAGGCTGATGGGTTCGAACCCAGCCTGGGCCTGCTAAACAACAATGACGGCTGCAACCAAAAAATAGCTGGGCGTTGTGGCGCGCACCTGTAGTCCCAGCTACTTGGGAGGCTGAGGCAAGAGAATCACTTGAGCCTAAGAGTTTGAGGTTGCTGTGAGCTGTGATGCCACAGCACTTTACCAAGAGTGGCATAGTGAGACTTTGTCTCAAAAAAAAAAAAAAAACCCTACATTTTAATTTTGAAAAGCAGTTAGGAATTACTTGGATAGGAAATAACACACAAAATTCATTTGGCTAGAAACAGAATTGGGAATTTATTTCAACAAGCATAAATTTAAAACCTACTATATATAAGTGGGATTTAAAGCCTGTTGTGTACAAGTCTTTTTAGGGATTACAACACAAGCAAAGGGGGCAGGAGGGCCGCGGAGGGGTAAAAAGCTCCCTATCCGATACAATGAACACTGGGTAATGAGCATACTTAAAGCCCCAACTTAAGCATTATAAAATGTATCCATGTAGCAGAAATATTTGTACCTCCTTAATATTTTGAAATAATAAATACACACCAGTTAAAAATAAATAAGTAAATTAGACTATGTGAATATTAAAGAAAAAGATGAGCAAGAAATTATCTCTGTCATTATGAGAACTTAGTGTTTTAATTATGTCTCTCCTCTCCTTTTCTGTCTTTAAAAGGGTGCCAAAGAGTTTTTAGTACCATCTAGGGAACCTGGGAAGTTTTATTCTCTCCCTCAGAGTCCTCAACAGTTTAAGCAGCTTCTGATGGTTGGCGGGTTAGACAGGTAAGCTTTTTTTGTGCCAGTAGTTGTCAGAAAAGGGAAAGAGAAGAAGAAAGGGGAATAGGAAACATAAAATTGTCTGGTCTCTTAAGAGAAAGTTAAGAATATTTATGAGAGTTGGAGAATACTTATACCCTCGCAATATATAATCATTGTTTAGTAAAGATTTATGGGGTGGCCACCATATAGAAAGCTCTATATTAATAGATGTGGCAGGGAATTAAGAAAAAAAAAGTATAGATTCTGCTTCCAAGGAGTTAATGAAGCCAGTAAGGCAAAATAGGATAGCAAATAAAACCAACTGTGATAGAAACTAAAATACAAATGGATTGAGATTTGTAAACTAAGTATTTGCAAACTGAAATTATATCAGTCAGGGAAATACTGTAGAAAACTTTGTGAGCTGGACTTTCATGGACAGAGCTGCACTTCAGCAGGTAAAGATGAGAATTGAAAAGGTATAGCATAGGAAAGCTCAAATGTATTTGTGGAGCAATAAATATTTCACTTTGGCTGATGCTAAAGAGTATATGTGGGGCTAGGTGAGGTGGCTCGCCTGTAATCCTAGCACTTTGACAGGCCAAGGTGGGAGGATCATTTTAGCTCAGGAGTTTGAGGCCATCCTAAGCAAGAGCAAGACCCTATCTCTATTAAAAATAGAAAAATTAGGGCAGCACCTGTGGCTCATTGGGTAGGGCACTGGTGCCATATACCAAGGGTGGCAGGTTCAAACCCAGCCCCAGCCAAACTGCAACAAAAAAAAATAGGCAGGCACCTGTAGTCCTCAGCTACTTGGGAGGCTGAGACAAGAGAATTGCCTAAGCCCAGGAGTTGAAGTTTGGGAAGCTGAGGCAGGAGGATCATTTGAACCCAGGCCCTTGAGGTTGCAATGAACTATGATGACACCACTACATTCACCCTAGTTCACAGAGCAAGACCCTGTCTCAAAATATATATATATATTTGTGAAGAAGTATGGACTTAAAAAATGTTTTTAAGAAAAGAA